AGAACCTGTGCGAACTCGACAACGCCAGCTGCCACCCGCTGGTGTGCTTCCTGTGCCACGAGCAGTACGAGCAGCCGTGTCTCTTGGATTGCTACCACAACTTCTGCGCCAGCTGCCTGCGGGGACGAGCCATCGACGGCCGCCTGGCGTGTCCCCTGTGCGGGTAAGGACGGCCTCCCTGGCTTCGTGACGGCCTTCCCGGGCCAGTGGGGTTGGAGTAGATGACCTCCAGGGGACCCTCCCCGCTCTAGGATCCCGCCTTCTCCACTTGGCAAAGCTTAAGTTTCTAGCCCTCGTGGTTTCTGCGGAGGAAGAGTTTCTCGAAACTCAATATCTTAAGAGGGCTCCGATTAAGCGGACGACGGCAAATGATTGTCCAGGCTCTTCTTGAAAACCTCCACCACCTCTGGATTTAATCATGGCTTGTCACGGTTTTTAATCATGGTTTGTCACACTGCCTCGGTTTGAGCCCCAAAGACCTTACTTTTCAGTGATGACAAGCCAGGTTGTGTCTTCCTTGCAGCTACCAGTCCGTCGTGAAGGGGAATGGGCTCCCTCCTGAAGACCAGCTGCTCAAATTCCTGGTGGACAGCTCCGGGGACTACGAAGAAGAGGTCCTGTGTGCGAATTGTGACCTGCAAAGCACAAAGCAGGTAAGTTAAGTCCCACCCAGAAGGATTTGCAGGGAGAAGGAGTTTTGGCCCCTGGATTACAGGATGGTAGAGCGGCGGGTGAGGAGGGGCCCCTGAGGGTCATCTAGGCCAACCCCCTAAGCATGCAGGCTCAGGAATTCTGGGAGTTGAAGTCCACCCGTTTTCAAATGGCTAAGCCTTGGAGAGACATAGCAATAGAGCATCCCTGTGCCAGAGCAGTCTATCTTAGCAGCAGTGGCTGCTGTAATTACTTCCAAGAGCCCCTTCCCAGCCTCCTCTGACCATACCTGTGTCCCTTCTTCTCCTCCTCCCCCTTCTTCTTCTCCTTTTCCTCTCTTCTTCTTCTTCCTCCTCCTCCTCCCTTCTTCTTCTCCTCTTCCTCCTCCTCCTCTCCTCCCTTCTTCTCCTTCTCATCCCCTCTCCTCCTCCTTCTTCTTCTCCTCCTCCTCTCCTCCCTTCTTTTCCTTCTCCTTCTCCTCCCCTCCTCCCTTCTCCTCTCCTCCTCCCTCTCCTCCTCCCTTCTTTTCTTCCTCTTCCTCCTCCTCCCTTCTTCTCCTCCTCCTCCTCTCCGCCTCCCTTTTTGTTCTCCTCTTCCTCCTTCTCCTCCTCCCTTCTTCTCCTCCTCTTCCTCTGCCTCTCCTCCCTTCTTCTCCTTCTCTTCCTCCTCCTCCTCTTCCTCCTTCTCCTCCTCCTATCCTCCTCCCCCCTCCTCCTCCTATCCTTCTCCCTTCTTCTCCTCCTCTTCCTCCTCCTCTCCTCCCTTCCCCTCCTCCTTCTCCTCTCCTCCTCCCTTTTTTTCACTTCCTCCTTCTCCTCCTCCCTTCTTCTCCTCCTCTTCCTCCTCCTCTCCCCCTTCTTATCCTTCTCCTTCTCTTCCTCCTCCTCCTCTTCCTCCTTCTCCTCCTCCCTTCTTCTCCTCCTCTTCCTCTCCTCCCTTCTTATCTTTCTCCTTCTCCTCCTCCTCCTCCTCCTCCTCCTCTCCTTCTCCCTTCTCTTCCTCCTCTTCCTCCTCCTCTCCTCCCTCCTTCTCCTCTCCTCCTCTCTTTCTTCTCCTCTTCCTCCTTCTCTTCCTTCCTTCTTCTCCTTCTCCTCCTCTCCTCCTCCCTTCTTCTTCTTCTCCTTCTCCTCCTCTTCCTCCTCTCCTCCAATACCCACCCTCCCCTCCTGTCTCCGTCTCGGAAGGAGCTGGACGCCATGTACTTCTGCAACACCTGTAGCCAGCCGCTCTGCGGCACGTGCCGGGAAGAGACCCACAAAGCCCGGATGTTCTCCCGCCACGAGATCGTCTCGCTGAGCAAGCGGGCCAAGGAGGTGCACAAGAAATGCCGTACGTGCTCAGAGGCCGCTATGTTCTCACGCATGGCCCTTCTTCACCCTCGACACCCCCCACCCCCCAAGCGGCCGAGCCCCACTTCTTCTGGGCAGCAAAAATACAGCAGAAAAGAGCCAAACCGGAATTGTAAAACCGTAGAACTAAAGAATCATCGAATCGGAATCCTAGAATTGTAGAGTCACAATCAGAGTTGCAAAATTGTGGAATCGTAAAATCGCAGATTCGGACTCAGAATCATAGAATTGTAAAATTGTAGAGTCACAAAATCATAAGAATCACAGAACCAGAATCATAGAATTGTAAAATCATAGAATCAGAATCACAGAATTGTAAAAGCTTAGAATCATAAAACCATAAGAATTATAGAACCAGAATCAGAACTGTAAAATCATAGAATTGTAAAATCATAAGAATCACAGAACCAGAATCATAGAATTGTAGAATCATAGAATTGTAAAATCATAGAATTGTAAAATCATAAGAATCACAGAACTAGAATCATAGAATTGTAAAATCATAAGAATCACAGAACCAGAATCATAGAATCATAGAATTGTAGAATCATAGAATTGTAGAATCATAGAATCAGAATCACAGAATTGTAAAAGCTTAGAATCGTAAAACCATAAGAATTATAGAACCAAAATCAGAACTGTAAAATCATAGAATCGTAAAATCATAAGAATCACAGAACCAGAATCATAGAATTGTAAAATCATAGAATTGTAGAATCATAGAATTGTAGAATCATAGAATTGTAGAATCATAGAATTGTAAAATCATAGAATTGTAAAATCATAAGAATCACAGAACTAGAATCATAGAATTGTAAAATCATAAGAATCACAGAACCAGAATAATAGAATTGTAGAATCATAGAATTGTAGAATCATAGAATCAGAATCACAGAATTGTAAAATCATACAATTGTAAAATCATAAGAATCACAGAACCAGAATAATAGAATTGTAGAATCATAGAATTGTAGAATCATAGAATCGTAGAATCATAGAATCAGAATCACAGAATTGTAAAAGCTTAGAATCATAAAATCATAAGAATTATAGAACCAGAATCGTAAAACCACAGATTCAGACTCAAAATCATAGAATTGTAAAACATGGGATTGTAGAAATATAGAACCAGAATCGTAAAACCACAGATTCAGACTCAAAATCATAGAATTGTAAAACATGGGATTGTAGAAATA